GGCCTCGACCATCATGATCCCCGCATGGGCTTTGAAGAGTGAGGCAGCGACGTCGAGACTATACAAGGTGCCATGTTAGCTGCTCTGCAAATTGGCCGAACTCTACCGTGGCAGCTGCGAACGGGCGACACGAACAATCGCAATCATCAGCTTATCGTCAATGCTGCTAAGTTTGACACGATCTCAGGCTAAACCCGTTGAACCGCTTGCACATCATTTTTCCTATCTTTCATGACAATCATTGACTTCACCGCCACGACCAACTCATTTCCAAGCAATCTTGACCCACTCCTCGACATCTGCCCACAGCGTCTCAGGCCTCTCCAATGCTGCAAAATGACCGCCTTTCTCGTGCGCCCTAAAGAACGCCAGGTTCGCTGTCCTCGCCGCCCAGGCGTTCGGAACAGGCGAAAGCTCGTAAGGAAAGTAGCTGTATCCCGTCGGCTTGTCCACATATTTGACTTTCTTGCCCTCTCGGTACGTGTAGATTGACGTCGGGTAGCAGCCAGTAAGCCAATACAGGGTAATATCAGACAAGATTGTGTTGACGGAAGGCGTGGTGGACGGATCAGTCCACGCCATGAACTTCTCGCCGATCCACGCCAGTTGCGCCATAGGGGAACTGGACAGTACGAGACCAATGGTGGAAGGCTTGGTGCCGTGTTCGACTGCATAGGCCTTGCCTACTTCCATGAACTCGTTCATCCTCTCAAGACCTTTCTTCTCCGCTGCACTGAGCTCGTCCTCAGGCGAAGAGTAGGACTTGATGTCGACCGTGTGCATGAAGTTGAGATGCATGCCTTTGCACTCAGCGTACGTAGATGCCAGCTCTCGCGCAATCCAAGCGCCGATATCACCGCCCTGAACGAGATATCCTGATGCGCCGAAACCGAGGGAGAGAAGCAGCTTGTGCATGATGCGGGACGTGTCCGCGACCTTCCAGTCTTGATCCAGTGGTGGGTCAGACGATAGAGCGAAGCCGGGGAGAGATGGTACGATGATGTGGTAAGGGAGGGTATCTGGCGTGTACTTCTTGCTCAAAACTTCCAGGAGGGGTAGAAACTCCAAGAATGAGCCAGGCCATCCGTGGAATAAAGCGATTGGGATAGCCTCTGACTTGTTGGAGAACAATGCAGCGAAGTGGACGTCGTAGCTGCTACCGCCATCGTCTTTGATGGTGGTCTTGAAGTTGGGGAGAGAGTTAATGCGGTCTTCTTCCTTGCGCCTACAACGTGTCAGTACAGTCATTCCTTTTCAACTCTTTGTCGCGCCTACATACCAGTCGAACTTCTCCATCCATTCTTTCTTCGCATCAATGATCCACTGCCGGCTGATCCCAAACTGGCCATGGCTGCCCGCATTCTGCTTGTTCTCATACGTCTCTTTCGCGACCGGACTCAGCTTGAGCAGAGTCTTGAAGTCCTGCAACTTCTGTTCCTCAACATGCAGCTCGAAGGGTGTGGGCTGTTGTTGCGCGCCTGCTGGTACGGTGCTGAAGGGTTTAGCTGACGTCATGTTTGCTATTGGTTACTGTCCACGATTGCGATTGTACGACCGGACAAGTACAGAATGGTCGTTCGAGAATGGCAGCTCTCGTAGCAGCCTTATATTGTCGTTGTGATGTCGGAGGTATAGCCGGAGAGCTTACAAATGCTGGATAGCTGGCGTGAGGTGATGCAGCTGCTACCTAGGTGTACACGCGCTAATTCCGAGTTGGGAAGTCGCTATCCTACCTCATTCAGGACATGATCTGCATGCTTATGTCATGAGACGCCCTCTCATAGGTTACAGTGTATACACATTGCAGACACGGCATTACAAATGCCTGCAGATCATAATATACACGCGTGTGGTGCTGCAGGTTTGAGGTCAAACAGCTTTCTTGAGTCAAAATCACGCGTCGCTGGCAAGCGTAGAACCACTCCACTCCGGATTCTCGTCGGTGATAGTCGGTGATGAAGCGTTGAGTGCACATTCAGTATCAATGCCTCAGTTCGCGCAATACAATGAAGTGGAAAATGCTTTGAATTAAGAAATAAAACTATTCGCTCATAATCAGCCAGGCGCCTCCACCAAAGAACACAGCGAACACCATGAGAGTGAGAATCGCAGCGCCGGCCTTGTCCCCTGTCGTGATAGAGTCATGCTCAACACGCACAGGTCCCACATCACTTCCTGCAGTAGGGTCGTTCTCACTGATTCCACCATTATCAAGTCCAACCGGACCAGAAACTTGATCAACAAGCAAATTCTGCATAACCTCCAATGCAGACATTTGCTCTCCAACGCCCACCTCCTTGTCGTTTCCACCTTGCCACCACCTAAGACCGCAACCACCTTTTCCGGGGCCACATTGTTGCGCAGCTGCCACGGCAGAGGCACGGAGTTTGGGCATGATGCGGTCGCGGGTCCAGGGAGCGGCCAGCATCGACCAGCCCATCCAGCGGGCGAGGTAGGCTTTGAAGGATCGTTGATCGTGGTCGCATAGTCCGTTGCGTTCGCAGGCCATCTCGATCATGACGTCTGGGGCTCCTTGCTGTTGGAAAAAGATGTCGGTACCGTTGATAACACCGCCTAGGCGCTCTCGCCATCTGCCTGCTCGTTCCTTTATTGCGTTAGAATGAGGGTAGAGTTGGATCAGGTTCAAGGAGGCTTACTGTATCACCCTTCGCTTCTGACATGTTCCACAAGGCTGCGGCACCCGCCATGTGGATTCCAGCGTTGTAGGTCCATTGGATGTGGTTCTTTTCCGTGCAGTTTTGTCTCTCGCTGGTACCATCTAGGAAAGGTATATATTAGCACGTATATCATCTGATACATATTCACGAGCATCCTTACCAAAGAAGTGGTAATCTGTGCTGATGAGACCAACACTGTACTGCCAATCCCATGCCTTCTCGGCCCACTCAACATACGTCTCGTTGCCTGTGTATTTTGCCAGCCTTGCTGCGATGTTGAAAAAGCATCCGTTGGAGATTGTGTTCTTGTAGTCGAATCCGGGGTTAAATCGGAAAATTTGCCAGTTCAGTCCACCGCCGCATGTTTCGGGATTCCAACGCGGTACCTGTGTGTTGAATACGGCGATGGCGAGTGACAACCACGACATTTCTCCTTCGACATCTGGAAGCTTGTTTTCCGCTGCTGACATGGCAGCCATTCCCCAGAAAGCCTGATCGTCGTTTCCTAGTGTTTTTGTCTGGTTCTCTGGCATAAAGGCTCTTGGGATACCGATCTGGTGCACCATCGCTTGCTGTACAATCTTGTTGTATGTGTCGTCGCCGGTGTAGTACCAGTAGTCGATGAACGAGTTCATCATGGCTCCACATAGCCACCAGTAGTATGGGTCTGGCAAGTTTCCAGGTACGTCGCCGGGTTTGTCGCCAGTGTACCATTCTCTTAAGCCCGCCGCAACAACTTTTGTCGCATCCTTAATAGAGGCTATTTATGTTAGTGGGGTCCGAAAACAGTTGCAGTGAGCGCACCTGGATCGTCAACATTGAACTCCAGCTGCGCAGTGGCGAATGAGGAAAGCAGGCCGACTGCTGCAAAAACAAGGTTCGAAGGTCTCATGGCGGAAGCTCCAGGGTATCACAGGAAAGACAGGTGTTGGTTATTCGGCATGCGTGGATTAACGAGTGCGCCTGAGGCACTACACAGCGAGCGACGTGATGCGGAGCCTGAGGTTGGTGTGGAGGAAGCGAGGGAAAACGAGAGAACGAACATTCTAGGATGGCGAGTCGTGATGTTATGAAACCCCTTCGGCCGTCAGCCAAGTAACGGCGTTGAGCCGCAGCAGTAGCTGGGCGACAGTGCAACGCTTGGTAGTCATCCTTCGGTGTTGGTACGAGGCTAGGGTTGGGTCGTTTAAACTCGTTAAAATGACTACGAAACTCACGAATGGCTTGGCCATCTAGTCTGGCCCTTCAGGCCCTCCCCTATCATTGATTGCGCGCAGGTTCCGGTTGTCGTTGTACATAGGGGCTGGTGTGCGTAATGCAAGTCGCCAAGTTTGAAGATGGCATTGGCGGCGCTTGGAAATGTCTTGGGCGCCGAGGACTTAGGCCGTCACTACAGCAGCAAGTCTTCCGCGACGTCCGGGTGGCTGCACTTGGATCAAGGCAGTGGCATCGGTTCCTGCGTCAAGGATGATGCGGGGAAGATCAGATGCTTTTCTCCACTCGTCATTGGAGTTGCGCTGTCCGGATGATCGGGTGGGATGCGTGCTGCTAGGGTCTTGGTGTAGCCGCGTATCCGAAACGGCCATACCCGCATACGAGAGAAGATGCATTTCTTTCGAAATCAAGGATTTGCATCGTCGAGATGACAGCTCGAAGCATGCGCGATCTAGAGTAGCGTTGTGGATGGCGGGGAGGCCCTCACTAACAGTCAGATTGCCCGTCATCTCACACCGCTTTAGAAGTCACCGATTTGGTGTTTCGCGACCCGATTAGGTTTCCTACATGCTCGTACCTTCCTGCGCGCACATTGAGCGCGCGTGTGCTAACGAAATGTCGTCGGCGAAATTCAAAACAACCTCCAACAGCATTGACACAGATTCGAGCGTGACCCTTCATGCGCATATCAACCCTCAAATCTCCTCGCATCGTCGCTGGAATTACCACGCTGTCCTTCTCCGTGGATGCAGAACCCTCGACGAGACGGCCGTCTTTGTGGCCGCCGTAATTCTCTTTTTCATGTCGCATCTTTGAGCGACAAGTCCTCCTCGCAATTGCAATGGCTGCGCACCTTGCTCCCTCATGCCTGGGCCTTTGGTCCAAGGGGGGTTTTGTTGTGTCTATGCTCACTTATTGGTGTAGACAGACAGATCGATCTTCTCTTCAACCGAGCCTTTGGTCTGGCAGAACGATATTTGCTTTCTGCCTCAGCTCTTTGGCTCAGGCATACATAGTGGTGTTCTTCATAATCTGGCTCTTTGGCCAGGAAAGTGGATTTTGCTGTGTGTCTGCTCGCTCTTTGGCGCAGACAGACGCTGTGATTTCTCATCTGCGGATCTCTGATCGAACAGAGCTCTCTCTGTGGGAGCTCGAAGTTGTTTTTTTCATGATCTCGTCTATCATGTGCTTTTCACGCTCCTTGAATGCGGGCGTACCGTCAAAGTCTGGCCAAATTGAACGATGCGGGCTCACCCAGTTCGTTCGCGCTGACATTTGTCAGGCTGCTTTGTCTTTGAGACTTGAGCCAACCATATACCGCTAGGTCAGAGTGCAGTAGGTGATGGACTGGTTGGCTCTGATTAAACGTCAGTGGCCGAGTCGCAGCTGAGTTCCCGTGAGTAGAACTACCAGTTCCGATACCATCGAGTGGTCCGGAATTCTCGGTAGGCACAGTTTTTGACTGAACACTACCTACGGCAGGACTAGGTAGACGGTAGTCGGCCTTCTGGTTTTCCGCATCAGTATCAACTGCTGCAGCCAGTGAAAACAGCTCATGGAGGAGCCTATCGTGACCGGCAAAGATGGACCCAAGACTGGACATCAAAGTGTCAACTAGCGGCGCGCCAGCCAACTTCGCCGCCTCGATCAAAGTGTGTTCCGGCATATCGATTGATTCAGACAAGAGTCCAAATTCGAACATATTCGAAAAGGGTGTCTGTTCAACATCCACCTGGAGTTGCGGCGCGACATCAGGAAGCTTGGTCTCTGCCTGCTCGAAGTCTGGGAAGACCTGCGAGAAAACATCTTGGGCCCAGTCCTCTTGAACGGGGCTTATGTCCAGTGTGAGCTTGATGAGCTTTCCTTCATCATCGACCGTAGGTACAACGTAATCATCGTCATCATCTTCCTCATCTTGAGGGCCCAGAAGGCAATGTACCTCAGCCCACCAGTCGAACTCATACTGATCGGTCTCTGCGACGATCTTCGTATGTACCGCTTCGAAGAACTTCTTGTCGTTTTGAGACAACCCGGTCAGCTCGAGCGGCCACCCGTATCCATCGAGCATGTACTCTTCTGCCATCTCTGTATCGATGGCAAGCTCGTCTTCGGAGAAATGCGAGTGCGTCAACGACGGAGTCGAACCGAAACTGGATGCGGAATCGCTATCTGCATTATCCAGAGTCCACTGACCTGCTAGATACGGCTCAAGCATACTTACAGCTTCCTCAAACGTTGCAGGCTTGCTCTCGTCATTTTCGTCAACATTAAGAAGCACGCAGTTGACATCGAAGAGGCGGCCATTCGAGAAATTGGTAAGTCTAGTGAATATGTCATCGACAGAGAGATCTGAACTTCGTGCGAGGACGTATTTCTCCGCGAAGTCTCGAACGGTGTAGGTTGGGAACCGGATACCATGTTCCTTTGTTGGGAGACCAGCGGTTTGGCCACCTTGGTTGGGTTGCTCATCGTCTGAACGGGAAGGTTCCTTTTGTTCCCTGGAAGTAGTGTCGCTGAGTGTCTCCCCTCTACAGGGGGTTGAAGTTTCTTTTCGAAAATTCTTGATAAGCTTAGCAATGTTAAGCTCATCGATGACCATGGTCCACCGAGTAGAGTATTTTTGGTCTTTTAACTTCGCTTCGACAGCTGCCTGGGTTTCCCACTCAGTCCCCTCTATCTCTATAGAGCCTCCAAGATCAGACTTAGGAGGTTGCTCAGCATGTTGAGTGAGGACGAGGGGTGTCTCTGATGAGGAATGATCGTAGCCAACAGCCGAAGCACCAAAAGTAGTCGAGATAGACTTTGTATCTTTGCCAGTCAGTACTGCGTGCTTTCGTGTGTGTTCGTTCCAAGACAATTTGGGCAGTTCAGGCGTTTGAGTGGCCATGCACGTCCCGGAAACAGTGTGTTCATCGAGTTTCGTTACGTAGACAGAGATTGGTGCGTCGAATGTACTCTTAGCGAAGCCGAAGTCAAAGCTAGGTGTGTCAGGGAACTGCGTAGCTGGAGGAGACTGTAGCAGTACGGACATAGGGGCGGTCTTCGAAGCCGGAGTAGTGAACGTAAAGCCGCTGGATGATGGAGGGGGCTTTTGTGGTACTATGGTAGGAAGCCCAAAGATGTTGGTACTAGCCTGCGCTGGAATAAGAGCCGGCGGTGCAGCGACCTCAGGAGCTATAGTAGCCTTCTCATCCAAGCAAGCCAACCCGGAATTCTTCCGCGTAGCCTGAGACTTTGGGAGGAGTTTCGGACGACGAGCGCCAGTGTCGATTACCGGGGTGTCAAGAACCGATGGCTTGGAAGCAATGGGCTCGGCAAGCACCGACGTGTTATCCTCGCGGACTTGCGGCAGTGCGACCGACAGACCCAGAGCCATGCGTGTGGCCAAGTCAAGGTCTTTCAATTTCTCGGAAAAGTCTTGGTATTTCTCGGATAAGTCGCGCAGAGTTTTGTCCCACCCAGTCATTTCGATCTCGCCGATGAGTTGAACGTACTGGTATGTCTGCCAGATATCAGACCATGGCTTGGGCTGTTTATCAGTGATATCGCGACTCTCGAGAGCCAAGAGACGAGCGGCGCGCTCGGGCGCTGGTAACGACGGGAGAACATCTAAAAAGACGGCGTTCCAGAAGTTCCACTGGGTAGTGGAAACATGAGCAGGTATGTCGTGTGTCGCAGCGGGCTCCACTGTAGCCTTCAGCTCCCGCCAGATGTCCAACTTCCTTGCCTCTCTGCGCTCATTGTGTACGCGTCGAAGCCGCGTCTTGATGTTTTCTCCAGGTTGGAAGGCAGACGTTCTCTTCTGGGTCTTCTTCGAGATAGCGGCCACCTGTTCCGTAGCGATAATGATGGGTGCGCCGATGGACCCTTCGATAGGTCGAATTGCTGCAGCCTCAATCGATTCAGGGTGATCATCGTCATCGTCTACGAGGTAATCGGCGCAGTCATACTCCTTCTTATTCCAAATGAAACGAGTTGTCGAATCCGCGGTGAGAAGGGGATTCGCAAATGGTCGATTTGACTCTTGGCAGTGAGAGGGGTCGAGGAAGAGGTAGACCATGTTGTAGAATCCAGCGTAGCGCTGGATGTCACCGGGATGTTCGGTAAGCATCATATCAAGAGCGGCGTCCTCTAGAAAGACTGACGCGCTCTTCTTGTACTTGCGCAAGACAGTGGCCTTGACTTCTCCTAGCAGAACGCTGGACGGCGGTAGTGGGCGGCCCGACATCGTAGTAGCTATCGATGATTCGCGTGAGTATGTAACAATCTTGTGGCAAACTGATCGATTGCCTGCGGTATATTGCGTGTGAGTAGAGAGTACAGTGCAAGCGGCTGGAGACTGTATAGAGTGGGGGTGATAAGGCGGAGCACGGACCTTTAGTGAAAGTTCGGACTAGAAGGAGACCTGCCTTAGCGCGATGGGGGAAGCCGTAAGGTTCTGGAATGAGTGGGCAAGAGCGAGCTGAGTGGCGTTTCGAGAGTGCGAAGAAGGCGCAAGATCAACTCAGGGAAGAAGGTCAAGAGACGATATCGAAAAGAAGGCCAAGTAGCGTAGGCGCCAAGGCCGGGGTGGTTGTAGGGAAGACACGTGCCTTGAGGTACTGCCCAGATGGGAAGGAGAGACACTCAATGAAACAAGGAACTGTACCTGCTTCACTGTTGAGATCATAAACTCTCCGAAAAGCAATAGTACATGAGCGTACATAGGAAGATACGTCGGTGACATTGGGGTATTGATGCTAGGAAAATGAACTGGGTATAGTAGGGGGAAGTGCGCGTACTTCATCGCTGTTGTCCTCAACAATCTGCGTCCACCCTCTTCTGGTCGACCATCCATTTCCGGAAAGCTCGTGCCTTGCTTCGTGCGCCCATACATGTCGTCGCATCCAGATGACTAGCAACAGAGAACGCTTCTACGATACGTAGTGCCGCCACCTCATCGACTTCATCGAAAGGTATCAAGTCCAAAAATTGCCGTAGCGTAATGGAGCCCAGCTTCACTTGCGACTGGACAATGTAATCGACGTTAGTAACGTCCATGAGGCTCAGTGTTGTTCGCATAACTAGATCCCACCCCTGACCAGCAGAACATTGTCGAGCGTAGAGCTGCTCCGATGCTGCAAGTTGTACGAATGCCCGAGCAATCGCATCTTTGGTAGCGGTATGGTTTGGTGTAGTTTCCAGTATTTCTAGGAAGTCGTCTAGCGAGCCAGTTCCTATGAATGTATGCCGGTGCTTGTACTCTAGATCGCGTTCTTCTGGAGTCAATGCGTCTACGCTGGTGGTATAGTAAGCGGTCTCCATGCCAGACGTTCGCTTTGTATAACTTTTGACACAGGGCTTTCCAAATGGCTGAGTGGCGCTGGCTCGGCTTGCGTGTGTGTTGACTGGAAGGTTCAGAGAGACCTTCCGACGGTGTCTTGTTTCAGGGGCGTTATCTGTGGTTTCCTTGGAAGAATCTGCCCTAAACAACAGCAGTCCATCGTTTGTCCTTGATCTTGACCGAAACGGAATGTGAGGCGTTTCAGTAACGTCGAAGCTTGATTGAGAAGAGACGTATCGACGATGCCGAAGACGGCGTTTAGCGACAGGATCGACTTCATGCTCTGTCATTTTGGGAGTGCAGGTGATGGACACTCCTTCCATCGATGCGTCGTTACAAGCTTTGTATGCACTGATGTCTTCATCGCATCCTAGCTGGCTGGGTGTGCATACAGGCGCGTCTTCGAACAAGGTTGTATCTGAGGTCGGGGATGCTGTGTCACTGGCGTCTTCAGGGTGCGGCGTCCGAGGAAGAGATCCTGGGGCGGATGCATCCATGGCAGGGAAGCAGAAGGTAGTGTAAATCTGGTACTCGTGGTCGGTCGTCCCTTGCCACGCCTTTGTGACAGTGTCCCGTGCGGGCAAGTCGAATCCGCCAGCACATGGGTTTTGTACAGCATTTGCTCCCGTAGCCACCGCGCCTCTGTCTGCGTTGGGTTGCAAAGCCGCCAGAAAGGTTCTGCCAGTGCGTTCGCTCATTAACATTGGCCTCCAAACGCCCAGCTTGCGGATATGTCCTATCGAAATTCTGTGTAAGCTTTTGTATAATAGACCTTGCCTCCACTCCGCATCCGACGGGGACTTACTAGGTGCTGGACTAATCTTATCCAAAGCGATGGTCCTGACGCCGACTGCGACTGTGTCGCATCTCTCGTTCGCGGTCGATGTGACGAGGGATTGCACATGATTCAACGCTGGCTGAGCTTGCGCCTCCGTTGTTTGCTTGTCCGGCGTTTGTTCAATGGCGGTGCTTGAGAGTTCGACTTGGTGCTCCGGGCGAGTGCGATTGGCAGCGTCACAAGATGGCTGTTTTCTTCGGCGCAGGTATTCGTTTGCGATCGCACAGCGAGCTAAAGTCGACGGTTTCATCATGGCTATGAGTCTGGACAGAGTTCGGACGCATATAACGATGGCGCGCAAGCGGTGGTGGGGCGGTTGTTGTGGTCGGGTGAGGATCACGCGTATTAGGAAAACATGACAACAGACGGCTGCAAGCTCCACTATTACCAGCCCGAGTGACTTCAGACGATCGAAAAAGAGTAGGATGAATCGCAATGCGGAGTGCAACCAGACAAGGTACACCATTGCTGTGTCGACAGGTGCATTACGGAAGAAGGAGACCCGGCCAGCGGCGATGTTAGCTTGTAGTTTGATTCCCTTAAAGTCGCATACATACCTTGATATCGCGATCGATAGCAATACAGGATCGCCGAGGAAGACCAGTAGTGATGTAATGAGGATGGCGTCAAGTGGAATGTTGTTGTAACCACTACCACGTGGCAACCGACATCTGTGGAAGGAGCGCAAGGCAACATGACTTGACAAGAAATGCAACAGAAAGAACGATCACAGAAATGTAGAAGAGAGACAAAAGTATCAGCCAAACTCTTCTCTTTCGTTTGAAGGCTGTTTCTTCAGACACCCCCTCCTCTACCCTTTGTACGCGCTACCCGTACACTGTGAGGGACAAACTTCAGTGCAGACATGCTAGAAGCCAGACTGTCCATGGAATCGGTCGGCTGATGAGTAGTGGCTGTCTTTGGGGCAGTGATACCTGCTGCGTCTTCTCGTGCGAGCCCGCGGCCTCCGAATCCTCCACGCCCACGAAGTCTGGTGGGGTAGCGACGCGTTTCTCCTTCTTCCTGAGCTTCTTCGTGATCCATCTCCATAGTGTCACCAGTACTTGCACTGGACTCACCTCTCCGCCTCCGTGGAGAACTGGCAGCGCCACTCACCGAGCTCATCGTTGAGCTTCTTCGTCGGTGAGAAGGTATCAGCATGCTGCTTCGGCGATCGATACCGTCTTTCACAACGATAAAGTCGTACTCGCGGGGAAACTGGTGCTTATCAATGCAGTGGAGGCGGCGCTTCTGTGGGGTGCTGCACATGCGATCGCAGTCAGGTAGAAGACATGCATACTGCGAGCTATCAGCTACAGTGTCCTTGTGAAGGCGCGCGTACTCCGCATACCTCACCAGTCTGACTCCAAATGGATGGGCGATCTTGTCAAGAGGAAGGAACCACTCGGGAGATCCGGAAAGGGAAGGAGCAAACACGTGACAAACAACGTAAGGAAATGACCTACCGTTTTCTCTCCCTGGTCTCGCTTGGCAGCATTGATGGGATCGTGATATTCTGCAATATGCAGATGTAGAAAGTGCTGATCCGGAAAGTTCTTGTGGCATTCGCTGCATCGGTTCATGTGAACTTGCTGATAGTGCACATCGTGGTCTTCAATCGAATTGAACGCAAGCGGTTCGTGCGGAGGCAGTGAGCACTTCATGATGATGGGTTCGTCAGAGACGGCAGATTCGGTATCTAAGTGGACAATCTTGACGTCGGCCGATGTCTCACGCGAGTAGGGTGTGCTGTCTGATGACGAGGAATCGCGGTGTGAGCGCTTGATCCCCATTGTATGTTGATTGGGGCTGATTGTGACTGTGACGAGGCGTAGATGAAAGGGGCAGTACCTTTTACCGGGGAGAGTGCCGTCTCGCAGGACTGTTTCACTTGGGTGTTGGCTGTGGGGTGAAAGAGAGAGGGTTGGTAGCCAGCCAGGCCGGGACGTGGTACCTTAGCTCCGAGACTGCTGCGCCCGCTAGTTCTCGCGACTCATCCACCAACCTCACTTTCTCACACCTCTCACCACGGCCATCGCCTCCGACTCTGACGCCATAGCTCCGCGTCTTGGGCGCTGTTTGCCTCCGAGACCCTCCCGCTCGCTTCTGTCCTTTACGCAGGGCATACCCCCTCACCATAAATGGAGCACGCCAGCCACAACGTCCGCCGCCTGCTCCGTGCCTTCGTCTGACCTGCCCGCCGACCGTGGGGTCACATATGAACGTCGCCGGCTCCTGCACATAGAAGGCATGGCCGCCAACACCGAACAACTCGACAGGTGCGTCATTGCGTCATTCCGGTCATGTCGACCGGGTGCTAATAAAAGTATAGACGGGCGAAGGCGATCGAGAAGGACCTGTACAAACGCGCAGATGGCGGCTCTCCGTGCGCCGAGTTAGCTGCGGTGCTGCAAGAGTAGGCATCGTTACCACTTCATCCCGGCGACAACTAATGCCCGACAGGTACCGCGCCGCCTGCGAGGCCCTTATCTTCTCCAACTTCGAATACGCATCCGCCCGCGAACTCCAGACGACGCTGTGGAATGCGCATCTGAAGGTCAACACCAAATTCAGGCAGGAACATAAGCTGGTGCGTCACCACGCGAGAAAGGACGAGAGGCATCGCTAACACCCGGCAGCTCAAGCGATCCAAGGACCATGTTGTCGAGATCCGCAAGTTCCAAAAGATCTATCTGCAGTTTATCAAGGCCAGCCAGCGCTTCTACCGCCAATACATACTGAACCTCGACACTCAGTTCGACGGCATCCCAGAGCTGCGCAAAATCGCCCAGAAATGGAAGGATGATAGTAAGCACGCCCGGTGCGCGCCACGCGACTTTGCTGATAAGAGAGCAGCCTCCAAGTCCTCCCCGCGCCAGCGCATCGCCGCGAACCTGAAGACACAGGTCCTCATCTCTTGCCACCAGACGCTCATCCAACTCGGCGACCTTTCCCGCTACCGCGAAACCGAACTCGTCGAGAAGAACAAGGACCGCAATTGGGGACCAGCCAAAGGCTACTACGACCTGGCCGCAGAGATATACCCAGATTCCGGACATGCGCCGAATCAACTCGCAGTAATCGCCCGCGAGGACGGCGATCACTTCCGCTGCGTATACCACCTCTACCGCTCGCTAGCAAGCAAAGAGCCCTACCCGTCGGCCAAGGCCAACCTCGCGACCGAGTTCAAGCGCGTCATAACTGCATGGGATAATGGGCAGCTCATCAACAACCATAAGTCAGCCGACGGTAACACCGGTCGGGCTTTGATTGCTTGGTTTATCAGACTGCATAGCAAGCTCTACAAGGGCGAGGAATTCGCGGCGCATGATGAGCTGGAAGGCGAGGTGCTCAGCCACTTGGCTATTGAGCTCAAAGAGCGCCCGTTGGACTCCATCCTGACCAAGATCATTCTCATCAACATGTCAGCGGAATATTTTGCGACGGTGCAGTTGCAGAGTAAGTTACCCACCCTTCACACGCTGACTTGGCTAATCATAACAGGCGAAAACCCACCCCCGAACATTATGCGCACCTATTTCTACTACCTTCGTCTGAACGTCAAGACATTCTTCATCCTACTACAAGTCCTGCAGCCGGAGTTGGACCGCCTTTCCGAGGGCAACGATGTTAAGCACCAGAATGGCGACCGCGCGGCCCATCTATCCGACAAGATTACAGCTGTGGCACGCCGCATCCTCCCAGGACTTCGTCTATACAGCACCTGGTTCACACGCTACTGGAAGGTACTCAACGCCAATATCGCCGATACCTTGAATCCTGTCGACGTCCAAGAGCTCTGGAAAGCCTACGCTGCTACCTTGTCTCTTTTGGCCTCGAGCTTTCCCGTCGACCAACTCCCCCAAGAAGACTACATGTTGGAGGAGGATACGGATACGATTGGTTTTGAGCCGCTCATTTCCCCGGACACCATGAAGCTCTGGTATAAGGGGGATATAATGAAGCAGAAGTGGACTGAGCTGGAGCGCAACCACCCCAACGTCGAGATGCTCATGCGAGTGAAGGATTTGCTGATCGATGGTCTACTCCTCACGCAGATTGATGATGCACCACTGGACTTGGCGGGCCCGCGATTTATCTACCGAGAAGAAGGATTACCATCGGAGCTTCTGGCGAGCCCAACGACCCGGCCTGATGGATCTCCGGTTCTTTCAGTCCAGGCCACCGATATACCTCTGTTCAAACATACAGAGGCGCCTATTCCAGACGACCAGAAGTCACACTCCGTTGCGGCAGCTTCAGAATCTGCATCCACTACGCTTGCTAAGGACAATGCGATGCGCAACATGGTGGACGATCTAGTAGGCGACGAGACCGGACTGGACCCTTTAGTTGAAGAAGACGAGAATATACCACCTACGCCACCAGAGCAGACATTCGACGACACGGCCGTTGTCAACGACAATACGTTTGTGCCGGGAGCATTGTCGATCAACGACTTGGTCAACTCGGTTAGGAACTACAAGCCCTTGTCTCCTGCTCCCATGCCTGCAATGCTCTCCACGCCGATGGGCAGGTCGGGTTCTACGTCTTCCATCCGTCAGCCACCGAACCTACCTTCTGTGCCAGATGGTCAGTGGAACTCCAACTCCATCTGGAATCGCACGCCCGGTCCGGCTTCTCCCTCTATGCTAAACACCAACGGCCTTGGCAACGATCTCCGTCGACCTTCAATGAATGATAAACCCCGGATGTCTGGTCATGTGCGAGGGGATTCAGCGAACTCGCTTCTGAGCGTCGAGACTGGTACCCCTACTGCTACTAGAGCTCCCAGTGGTATCGGCAGTGGCGCTGCATGGGGAAATCACGTCAGCAGCCCCTCGAACTGGGGATCGCCATATGGCAGCGACTTGAACAACAACCAGCAATATGGATACGCAAATGGAGCAAACATGGCGAGCCCGCTTCTATTCAGCTCCTACCGGGGCAACGCCGAGAGCTCCTGGGGGCGCACTCCTCCCAACGGCCAAGGCGGCTGATCCAACGCCAGCGCAGCCGTAGCAGGCTGCTCAATGCTGTCTTATCATCAGTCGTCACCGTCGCTAGACATACGGTTCGCCAGACTACCAACCTGGTTACTACAAGACTGTCGTGTCGGAGTTGAAGAGCTCCGTTGGTTGGGTTATGAGCGAACCCTCCAACCAAGTGAGTGTGGGTGCTCTTCCGCATGCGGCATGTGTGCTCCCATCATGCTTCGCTTGCATGCCATGACTTGTCCAGAGCACCATCGAAGATCCAGGGAAGGTAGTTAGATGGGGCGATTTGCTTTACAGACTGAAATTATTGCGTTATTGCATGGGTTGGTCCCGCGGACCAGCCAGGCTATGGTCCGACTTGAGAAACGACTCGTCTTCCAGATGACCAAAGGCTTTGAGCTTCTGGATCGGAAGTGAGTCGCGTCTCAACGTTTTATGTCTGGTCTGGTAGATCTACTTTACTTTATGAATTAACAAGGAGTTATGCGTATGACCACAGACCTCATAGTTGCTGTGATGTTAAGCCATGTTTCTACAGGATGTATTTCCCCGTATGCCCGACAAGATGCTCCACGCGGCTGCACTTACCTTGCTCAATTCGGGACTTTACGTGTCGGTGCAATTGTTAGCGCGGAGCTTGCTGCCCCTCGCTGTCCGAAACCCTGCCCCACATTCAGCACTTTCACTCCATTACGACACCAACGTCTTTTATTACATACACACAACAAACACAATGCCTGGAAACTACGAACTATTCTGCCTCGAGAACCCGCTTCTGGATATCCAGGGTGTCGGGTAAGTCTATCGTCCTTTAGCTAAAGTCGCAATGCTTTGCAGCAATTGCGGAGGAGCACCAAAGTGAGCTTTTGCTAACAGCCAGCAGTGACCAGGCTCTCCTCGACAAGTATGGCTTGAAGGCCAACGATGCGATCCTCGCCGACCCCGAGAAGCACATGGGCCTGTACGAGGACCTTCTCCAGAACTACAACGCCGTCCTGATCGCCGGTGGTGCCGCCCAGAACACTGCCCGTGGTGCGGCTTACATCCTTGAGCCCAAATCGGTCGTATACGTTGGCTGCATCGGCAAGGACAAGTACGGCGAGACTCTCGAGAAGATCTCAGCCGATGCCGGTGTCAAGACTGAGTACCTCTACGATGAGAAGACTCCCACTGGCCGCTGCGGTGTTGTCATCACCGGCCACAACCGCTCCATGTGCACCGACCTTGCCGCTGCCAACAACTACAAGATCGACCACTTGAAGGAGGAGCGCATCTGGAAGCAGGTCGAGAACGCTAAGGTCTACTACGTTGGTGGCTTCCACTTGACCGTCTGCGTACCAGCCGTCAAGGCACTGGCTGAGCACGCTGCTGCCAAGGACAAGGTATGAAGACCATGGGTGTGTTGAGAAAAGATCAATGTGCTAACAGCTTTCTAGCAATTCATCCTCAACCTTTCCGCACCCTTCATCTCGCAATTCTTCAAGGACCCTCTCAACGAGGTCCTCCCTTACGTCGACATCGTCATCGGCAACGAGACCGAGGCCGCCGCATTCGCCGAGGCACAGGGCTGGGAGACCAAGGACGTCAAGGAAATTGCTAAGAAGCTTGCCAACACACCCAAGCAGAACAGCAAGCGACCCAGGACTGTTGTCTTCACCCAAGGCACCGACCCAACCATTGCCGTAACCGCAAAGGAGGGCGGTGACGCTGACGTCAAGGAGTTCTCCGTACACGCCATCAAGGAGGAGCAGATCAACGACACCAACGGTGCCGGTGACGCCTTCGCCGGTGGTTTC